CAAGCATCTTTTAAATTCCCCCTCCCCTTTGTTTAAAGTTAACAACCTCGTTCTCGGGGGTGTACACAATAGAGGAAGAACTATCCATAACAACAACAAAAATGATCAACAAGATTGCACTCAAAAACAGATCTGACGATAAAACGGCGAATGAAAAAGAGGGGCGAATAAAACGGCAATTTTTTATGAAGTCGGGAGAAGAAAACGAGAGGCAAATGGCAAACAATGTAAATTTCAAGGAGATGAGATTTGTGATTAGGAACTTGGTTGATGTTGATGATCCTCCTCGGCAACAATTCCAGAAATTCGTTTTGATGTCTGCTAGAATTACGTCGATATTTTCCCAAAGAGGAAGGGATGATGCAGCACAGCAATGGTAGGTATTTCCCTCAGTGATGAGACCAAGGTTATCGAACCAGTAGGAGAACCACGCAACACAACATAAACAACCACTGCACACAAATAACAAATACTCGCAACCCGACGTGTTAAAGGGGTTGTCAATCCCTTTCGGGCAACGACGCCGGAAATTGGCACGAAGATGGGATAAAGTTGTGATAGATTGGATAAATGGATAGCAAATAAAATAAAGTGCAGTAAGGTATTTTTGTATTTTTGGTTTAATAAAACTAAAAAGAAAAGTAAAGGAAAATAGATCGTGAAGGCAAATATATTAAAGAAGAGACCCGGGGCCATAGGTTTCACTAGTGGCTTCTCTCAAGAAAAAAATAGCAAACAGTAGGAAAATAATTATTGTTGGGCAATTGATAGAACTTTAAATAATCATGATGATATTCATGCAATGATCATTATATAGGCATCACGTCCAAGATAAGTAGACCGACTCCTACCTGCATCTACAACTATTACTCCACACATCGACCGCTATCCAGCATGCATCTAGTGTATTAAGTTCATGGAAAAACGGAGTAATGCAATAAGAATGATGACATGATGTAGACAAGATCTATTTATGTAGAAATAGACCCCATCTTGTTATCCTTAATAGCAACAATACATACGTGTTGTTTCCCCTTCTATCGCTGGGATCAAGCACCGTAAGATCGAACCCATCACAAAGCACCTCTTCCCATTCCAAGATAAATAGATCAAGTTGGCCAAACAAAACTCAAATATCAGAGAAGAAATACGAGGCTATAATCAATCATGAATATAAGAGATCAAAGAAGACTCAAATAACTTTCATGGATAAAAACATAGATCTGATCATAAACTCAAAGTTCATCGGATTCCAACAAACACACCGCAAAAAGACTTACATCATATGGATCTCAAAGAGACCATTATACTGAGAATCAAGAGAGAGAGAAAGAGAGGAAGCCATCTAGCTACTAACTACGGACCTGTAGGTCTACAAAGAACAACGCATGCATCATCGGAGAGGCACCAATGGACATGATGAACCCCCCTGTGATGGTGCCTAGATTGGATCTGGTGTTTCTGGAACTTGCGGTGGCTGGAATTGATTTTCGTCAACTCCCCTAGGGTTTCTAAAATATTGGGGTATTTGTAGAGCAAAGAGGCGGTGTGGGAGGCCACCGAGGTGGGCACAACCCGCCTGGTCGCGCCTGGGCCCTAGGCGCGCCCTGCTGGGTTGTGCTTGCTCCCCTCGGAGCACACCTCAGGTACTTTCTTGGCCCATACGGTGTCTTCTAGTCCAGAAAAAATCCACAAAAAGATTCCCTGCATTTGAACTCTGTTTGGTATTGATTTCCTGCGATGTAAAAAACAAGTAGAAAACAGCAACTGGCACTGGGCACTATGTCAATAGGTTAGTACCAAAAAATGATATAAAACGATTGTAAAACATCTAAAAATGATAATATAATAGCATGGAACAATAAAAAATTATAGATACGTTGGAGACATATCAGAGCCTTCGTTGTGGAATCCACCATCTTCATCCAAGCGGTGAGCCCTTTAAACCGTAGGACATTGTCATTGAGCTTAGTGTTGGTCACCAAGGGCTGCTGCTCGATGGTCTCCATAGATGCCGTAGTTTGGACCTCCGCCATCGAAGGGCCCTTCCGTTTTGGTGCAAGAATAATCTCAGGCAGATGTTTTGGTTGAGAAATTGAAACTACAGCAGCAACACGAGGTCGTCGCCTACCACAGATGGACTGACGGATCAAGCTGTGAAGATTGGATCGATGAGACTACTAGCGCTAAGTGTTATGCATCTCAAATTTCAACGGAAGGGAGGGATACAAGATAGAGTTCATACTAGAGTTGGGGGAAGGAGGAGAGAAATGTTTTTAGTCTTTCTTGCTTGACCACCATTCCCTCTAGCACATGCTTACTTATTGGCAAATCCTATTTAGCGCCTTTAGCGCATGTTTCTATTGTTTCTGCAATTGGGCGCATACCCCACTCGGCGAATGGGCCGACCCGTTTAGTTTTTTTTTCTGTTGAGCTGCAAAAAGCATGCACACCGAGAAGATTCGAACCCATGATCTCTTGTTCACGACAAACTGCACTAACCACCCAAGGTAATACACCAGTGCTGCTTACTCCTCCCTTATTATTTCTATTTGTTCTTCTTTTCTTAAATTCATGAAGTTTTTTTTTAAATCCATGGGCTTTTTCCAAAATCAATGAACTTGCATCAAATTTGCGACCTTTTTTCAAAATTTATGAACATTTTTCAAATATGTGATTTTAAAAGATTGATGATTTTTTTCCAAATTTGTGATTTTTTTAAAATCGATGAACTTTTTTAAAAATTGGTAAAAAAAAACAGGTTCATGAACTTTTTTTTTCAAATTCTGGAACATTTTTCAAATGTGTGATCCTTTTTCAAAATTGGATGAACTTTTTTTCAAAGTTGACGATTTTTCCATGTTTTCAGAAACCTTTGCTAATTTTTGTAGTTTTTTGAAAAATTGTGTTTTTATATATTTTTTTGTGAATTTCTTTTCAAATAATTAATACCGGGTATATAATATATCTTTAGAAGAAGGGTCAAATAGCTCCTGTTCCTGACAGTGTACAAGCTTGGAAGCTCGGTCTGATGGTTATGGCACCAAGTTGTTATTGGTGCCGTGAAGAGTTTGAATCCCGGTTGGCCTATACAACGTACATAATATTTTTCCAGGTCTTTATGCTTACATTTATCAGAAGTTGCTGGGCCGACCCGCTAAGCTTCTCCTACGAGCGCCGTCAACGTCAACTAGGAGCTCCCCAACTTATCGGGAGCTCGTAGTCAGCGCCTTTAGCGCCAACTAGGGCTTCCGGCGCCTACGCTGGAGCGCTCCTGGGCCGGCCCAAAGCAGGTCCGCGATTGAAAGGAAAACAAGCGAAAAAATGCCGCGTGTAGGTATAATCGAACCTACGACCTCGTTGTCGCTAATAGGCTGCACTAACCACTGCGCTACTTAAGCAAATCTACTACGAAATCCTTTTCATTAGTTTCTTGTTTCTTCTTTCGTTTTCCCCTTTTCTTCTTTTCTTCCTTATAAGATGACTTTTTTTCAATTCGTGAACTCTTTTCAACTCGATGAACTTTTTAAAAAATTTGATGAACCTTTTCAAATTCGATAAAATTTGAAAAAAGTTCACAAATGTGAAAAAAGTTCATCGGATTTGAAAAGAGTTCACTGGATTTGAAAAAAGTTCATCGCATTTGAAATATGTTCATTGATTTTGAAAAAAAGTTCATCAAACCTGAAAAAAGTTCATCGGATTTGAAAAAAGTTCACTAATTTGAAAAAAAGTTCATCGGATTTAAAAAAGTTCATTAGATTTGAAAAAGAACTTCACCACATTTGAAAAAGTTTCATCGATTTTGAAAAAAAAGTTCATCAAACTTGAAAAAAGTTCATCGAATTATAACAAAAAAGTTCATCAAAATTGAAAAAATGTTTTTCGAATATGAAAAATGTGCACCGAATTTGAAAAAACAAAAAGTTTGAAAAAAGTTTCATAAATTCGAAAAGAGTTCTTTGATTTTGTTCAATAAAAAAGCCAAACTGTAAAATTATTGATTAAAAAAGAATATAAAGAAAAAAGAAAACCCAAATAAAACCGCCCCGGAAATTACCACGAATCGGGATAAAACCGATTTGGGAAGCTTCTGGAAGCTTCCCAAAACTGAAGGATTCCGGCGGCTGAAAGAGAGTAAATAGAAAGAAACAAGCAATTAGTCAACAGTTGTCCTGTGGCGAAGTGGTTATGGTCATTGGGATTGAACGACATGGTCGGGAGTTCGACTCCGGCTTACGCATTTTTTGAACCGTTTTATAGAATAAACATACATGGGCCGGCCCAGCTTGCCAGCGGAGGGGGATCGCTGCAGGCGCCCGTTTGCCAACGAAGCGCCGAATAGGAAATCCCCAACTCATCCATCTTACAGTTGTGGGTGTGCTGTTCTTCGCCGTCTTCCAGGCCTCCCACTCGCGGGCCATTCTTCGGATCCTTCTTATGGCCTTGGGCCGGTGTCCAGGAGTGGGCCACACCAGAACATATTCCAGTCCCAGTTTTGTCAGGAAAAAAACAAGGTTTCAAAAAATGAAAAAATGAAAAAAAAGGTCCATGCACCGACAACGCACACATTCGCACCCCCGAGATCTCGTGGGATCTCTGCCAGCACGGGCGGGCTCGGACAAAAAGAAAGGAGGCACCGCCAGCGAACGCCAGCCGTCGATGGGCTGGCCTTGAGATAGCAATGACAATTCACTCACTCGCCAAAGCGGGGGCGGGGCCAGCTGGGCACGAGATCCCTCCCCCCCCTCCTTTCCTTCCTTCCCCCCAGCTTCCCTCCTCCCCTCGTCGCCGTTCCTTTCTGGGATCTGCCCCCACCCCTCCCATTCCCCTCCCGCTCGTCCCGGCGAGCAGCGCCGCGTCCCGTCCCATCCCGGTAAGCGAAGCGTCCACGAGCTTGTTTCTGATCCGTGTGGGCTGCTCATTGGCCGGGTGATCGATCGGGTCCGCGGGAGGAGAGGAGGCGAGGCGACGACGGGGAGGGAGGAAGGGAGGCGGCGATGGCGCACCGGGTGGACAACGAGTACGACTACCTCTTCAAGATCGTGCTCATCGGCGACTCCGGCGTCGGCAAGTCCAACATCCTCTCCCGCTTCACCCGCAACGAGTTCTGCCTCGAGTCCAAGTCCACCATCGGCGTCGAGTTCGCCACCCGAACCCTCCAGGTACCATCTCGCCCCCCCGCGCACGCACGCGATCTGATCCCGTCGCTCTTGCTCGGTCGGCTCCGTCTATCTGTGATACAATTGCTTGCCATGTGAATTGAAATGCAAATGCCGTCCTCATTTGTGATCCCGCGCTGGGTTGTGTGTGGGTGGTTTGGCCTGTTGAACAGAGCACCCGGTTGAATTTGCAGTCACCGCGTAGGAATAGGACGGGAGATCTAGGTGAATGAATAAATGATTGATTGTGCGGTTAAAAGCCAGGACACCTGTCGTAGGTCAATGTGTTGTTGGCTGCATGTCTGAGCGGACACCTAGCATATAGTACTTTTCTGGTCGTATGACAATGACAACACATGGTAATGCCGTGAAAATACCGATGTAGGCTTTGCTTCAGATGCTTTTGCATTTGAGATGGTAACTGGGCTAGATTGTCAACGAGACCCTATCTGCCGTGGGCATGGTTTCAGTTTTCTTTTGAAGAGGATAGTACATCATCAACCAATTACATATTGTTCAGAAACCTAAGGGTAAACGGTTTTCAGAGGAAAAGAAGCTTGTAAACAACTGAGCCGTTTTAATTGCATTACCATCATCATCATCATTAATAGTATTATTATTATTATTATGTTTTTTGGGTTGGCACTGCACTAAAAAATACTCCAGATAAGCCTTGCGCTAAAAAGTAGTGCTGGCCTGGGTAACCTGGATTGATTGGTAGAACCGGTTTCTTCTTTTGAATTGTCATGCACTTAGCAACGAATTGCCACCCTATGATTTGCACTACAGACTACGTCCTATTGCCAGAAAGCTGGAAATGAACTTGATTTCTCTTATCTCTTCTGGTTGGTTGATGTTGAATAACTATGTGTTTTTAAGCTCTTCATTGGTGCTCCAGATAAAATGTTTTGATAAGCTCATCATTATGTGATCCTGCCTGAAATTCATTGTAAGAAGATGTCATTGCTGTACTTATATTTCAACAAATACTATAAGTAGTCTTCCAGTACACCCCCATGTTTTTTACCAGTGCATATTGACATATTGTTGTCTGCTGTAGTACATGAACTTCAGTAAAAGGAAAATAACATGTAGTTAGAGAATCCCTTTTGTTCCTTCTAGCTTTTCAATCAGGATTTAGTAACTTGGGACGCATCATATTTGTACATTAACGCAATGTAACAAGTATGTAAAATATTTAATGTGGATCTTAGCACTGGAATAATACTCCTTTCCTATTGGTGTTCTATACTCGTGTTAAATACATATTCTTCTAGTGAATCTGAGCAGAAGTTTAATTTTGTTTTGTGGCAGATAGAAGGAAAGACTGTGAAGGCACAGATATGGGACACGGCTGGTCAGGAGAGATACCGTGCAATTACTAGTGCATATTACAGGGGTGCTGTTGGAGCCCTCCTAGTCTTTGACATAACAAAGAGGCAGACCTTCGACAATGTTCAGAGGTGGCTCCGTGAGCTCCGGGATCATGCAGATGCCAACATTGTTGTCATGATGGTTGGGAACAAGTCAGACTTAAACCACTTAAGATCGGTTCCCGAGGAAGACAGCCAAGCATTCTCTGAGAAAGAAGGTCTGTCGTTCCTTGAGACATCTGCACTGGAGGCAATCAATGTGGAGAAGGCATTCCATACTGTGCTGAGTGAAATTCACCAGATTGTAAGCAAAAAAGCACTTGCAGCACAGGAGTCTGCTGCTGCCAACGGCCGTTCGATGCAAGGAACGACTATTAACGTTGCTGAACCATCCGCCAACGCAACAGGTTCTTGCTGTTCCAGTTGAAGAGCTGGTTCCAGTGGAAGAGATTCTTTCCGGAAATGTCTGCTTCCGCAGAACTGGACCATGACAATATACATAGGTTATAGTTTGGTATCAGATATTCTTGTTTCTCATCCCGAATCCCATGACTGGTAATTCCTATCGCAAGAACACCTTTACCATACTCTATAACCTGCCTCCATCAAATCATTCTCATTTTGTATTCTTATAACTATCATCGATTTCACTTGTACAATTGAGAAATCGAACATGTTGTAACAATGATTATTTCCTGTTAACAACAATAATAATTGTTAATGGAATTATTATGCTCTTAAATTTCGTTATAATGGCATGAATTGCACTGTCGATGTTGGTAGACCTGATCATATGACTGAGCGAGCACTTTTTTTCGCAGGCTTGATGTTTGAGAAATTCTTGACTTTTCTTCAATTCAAATAGTATTATTCATCAATTCTCCTTTGAATTGCTCTAAATGCATACCCATGAATCATTCTCGCTGTGCCTCCGACCATTAGTGATTTCATGATGTGTCTCATTGCTCGACCTGTGTTCTTTTTTTTTTCCAGCATGATGGTAATTTATTGAATTTTCACGTCTATGTTTCTTGAAGCGGATGAGAAGTCTTTCGTGGCGTATTTAGCATGAGATGAACTATTCATACAACACGTGTGTTCCTTCGGTTTTGTTTGTCCCAGTTCTCCTTTTATTTTTTCGACAGTTTGCTGTTACGTAATTACTGGCAGATTGGAATTTCACATACCTGTCATAACACAGTATACATGCATAATCCTACAGTATTTCTTGGATCTAAATAAATAAATTAATTCGAATACATTTTTTGTATGCACGAGTTAAAACCCGTATACATTGGGCCTTGGTCGCCCACATGTTTAGCGTCGCATCGGGTGGCTTGCCTGGGCACGCTGGCCTGAAATATTACCTATCTGCGCTACAGTCATTTAGCGATGTGTTCTGCTTGCCTGCAACTATTCGTTCGCGCGGTTGTTCACGCTTCGTTTTCGGATTGGATGCACAGAAGTGACCATGGTGACCTCGCTCCAGTGGCCTACCACGACTGATTCATCCGCCCTGCGCCTAGAAACAAAACTAGTAGCAGGAGAATTCAGCGTGATTTATGTTGGTGCGCAAAATGGGTTAGGATAAACAAGTATGGTTGATTTGATGATTCTGTACTACCCATTTTTTAGAGGGACGCTTCTGTACTACGAGTAGCAACATCATCGTCACTTCCAATACTCCGCACTTTACTTTTAAGTATCTGATATTTGTGCGTAGACCGTAAATCCAAATCGATTCTAGACTCTTCCAATCTACTTCCTCTGTCCCAACATAGCTTGAAAGATGCGCGCAAAAAAAAAAACATAGCTTGAAAGAGGTTTTTATATTATGAGACTGAGGAAGTACATGCTTAACCGAGGATGTGACAGCTTTTGTTCGCATCATATTTCATTAGATAGAAAGAGCTATAAAAGGTGGCAACGGAATGAATGGACCATGGAGGCATACGAAAGCATTTTTTTTAAAATGGTCGAAAAATCATGAAAAATGCTGGCAACAAGCTTCATAAAGCGTTACAGTCATGTAAAAAAAAATTAGGGACAAAATGACTTTCATGATATTCTCCAGGACAAAGTCAAAATTAGGGACAAAGTTTAATTTTGTCTTCGGATTCAGTCTATATTGTCCTGGACAATTTGCTTTTATGCTCAGATTTTTATGGGGAGTTTTCGTTGTCAATTTTTTTATAAGTAGGCCAACAAGACAAGTTTGTTCGAAAAAAGTTTCAAAGACCATTGACTTTTTCCTGAATTGCTAAAACAAATCCTAGAAAACAGTTTATCGGGTTCAGCTACAACCAAATGTATCCTGGTATTTTCCCTAAAAGGTGCCCGTTTACCTATCGCCCGGTGAGCCGGGCATCACTGACTTTGCAGTTGCTTTCAAAGTATGGCCCGCCACGGTTTAGCAACCTTTTTCTTCTCTAATCGAGAGGGCACGCACATACGACCCAAACCCTGTATGGTGCCTTAAGCGCCGGTTACAGTTCATTCTGTGTAAACCGGCGCAGACCCCTTGTATGTCCTTGGGCTCGGCCCATTTAGCTCCTTTTTTCGCACAGCATGCATACGTCCTGTAGGCTAGTTCCATCGGTGGACGCAGTTATTTCTCTCTCACTGATTTTGGAAAAATTCTAGAAGTTTCCAGCATTTTTAAATCGGTTTTTCATGGGTTTTCCCAGAAAGAGTTTTGTTTAGTTTTTCCTTTTCATTTTTATTTACTTTTTTGCTTTAGTTTTTTTGTTTAATTTTCTATGATTTTTTTTGTAATCCTTGACATATTTTCGAATAATCTTTTTTAATTCTTGAATTTTTTTAGCCATGAACTGTTTATGAATTTCATGATAATTTTTCTCCTGAACTTTTATCAAATGCATGAACACATTTCAAATTCATGGTTTCTTTTAGCTCGGGAACATTTTTTTCATATTTGTGAACTTTTTCCAAATTTCATGAAAGTTTTTCAAATTTGTGAACTTTTTTCAAATACGTGAACTTTTTCATTTTCGTGAGTTTTTTCAGTTTGTACGAGCCTTTTCAAATTCATGAACTTTTCTCAAATTCATAGATTTTTTACAATTTCATGAAAAAAAATCATTTTGCACGAGCCTTTTGATAATTTTGAACTTTTTCAAATTCATGGGTTCTTTGAAAAAAGTGTGATTCTTTTTCAAATTTGTGTTTTCTTTTTTCAAATAATTTATACTGGGTATATAATATATGTTAATGTTGTACTAAAAGAAGGGTCAAATAGCATTGTTTTTCAAATAGTAGACAACAAAGTGATATCGATCTAGTGATTACCTAGCCAAGTCTTTTGTCCATCGACGTAGGTGGGTTGGTTTGAATCCCATGTATCCTAGTATAACACTCAAAATATTTTTCTTCATATTTGGTTTTTGAGCAGGTTGCTTAGACGGCCCGTTACCCGTCGTGCGCGAGTGCCGAATAGGAGGTCCCCACATATGATGTATGGTTTAGATCTAGGGCCGGCCAAAAGAGTGGACTAGGCCCTTCCAAGAGTTCACATAATTTGTTGATAGAATTTCCTCAACCATAAACTTCAAAAAATCATTTTTCTTTCAGGGAAAATTGTTTTTACAATGGCTATAAACAAATTTAGGGGTTTTATCAGTTGTGACACACTACTCAATTTTGTCACTAGGTTTAAACTACTCCAAAATGTCATCCTTTTATTAAGCGTGTGCTAAAAAATTACACTCGCCACCGTTACCGTCCGGTCAAAGGCCATTGACCCGGATGAAGTGACCAAAGTACCCCTAGACACCACAAGCCAGTGTTCCCTCTGCAACTTACTATAACATGTGGGTCCTAGTTTTTGGCAGACAAAGAATGGAATCATAAGAAAAAAATAGTTCACGTGAGGGTGATTGAATCCTCACGTGTTATTGTTTTTTCTTCTAATTTAATTCTCTTTGTGTTGACAACTAGGACCTACACGTTATAAGGGAGCCCTCACAAGTGGGATCCAGGGGTATTTTGGTCACTTCACACTAGTCAATGGCCTTTGACCAAACGGTAATGGTGTTGAGTGACATTTTTAGCACATACTTAACTAAAGGATGTCATATTTTAGCAGTTGAAATTTATAATGGCAAAGTTAAGTTGTGTCACACAACTGGTGACGACATAAACACGGGAATTGTCCGACCTTAAACACGGGAATCATGAAGTAGAAGGAAGATAGAAGATCTTGATTGGATGTCAATCAATGTTGACCAAACAAAACTATTTTGAAGGGACAGTTCATTAGAGGCTTTTTGTAGCTTATTTCCAAATTGAGCCAAAAGCCCGAAAGAACTCATTTTGAGGGGGTGGAGCTTAACTTATTTCCACACTCA